TACATTTTTAGCTCCACAGTCATTACTGCTACTTTGAAGCGGGCTGTTTTGACAAACAGGTTTAAGGCTTTCTATTCTACCTGCACATTACAGCCTCATCAAATGATCAGACCTTTCATCTATGACTTAAGCACATTCTTCTTGATAAAATGCAAAGCTGGTCATTGCAGGATGACATCTGACACCAGGAGTAAGCAGGTTTTGGGAATGGCCAGTTCACTATTGACTGTTGTTACCTGGTGGAAAAATGTCACAGAAGCATGTCTGGTGCCACTGACACCCAGCCTGCGATGGTCTTTGCAATCAGGAGGAGAAACTCATGGAAATCAGCTCAGCCAGGTGGCAGACTCTGGCTGCTGCCACGTACCTAGGGTGCTGGTGAGAGACCTTAGCATGATGATGTCTACAGCAGCTCCCACACTACTTAGTCCTTCATAACACAGGTGTCTATCAGGCTGGAGACGTCTTGTTCTCCCTGAGTCTCTGAGATACAGAATGGTCATTCATAGCATTTGTCCTGTGTATTTTACAAGGTTGCTTGGGAACAAATGATGCTGTGTAAAATAATAACCAAAGCTGCTGCTGAGTGTCCCCCAAGAGCGAGGAGCTGTGTGCGGGTCTTTCCTCTTGTTATCCAGTTCTTGCCCGCAGCTTTGTTTGCAGATGTTAGCGCAGCTGTGTCTCAGATAAGAGTGTGGGGATCCAGACAGATCAGTTTATGTGCAGTTGAGAGTTTGCACCAGCATCCCGACGGCTTCCAAGCCCACGCACTTAGGCCCCACTGTGAGCTTCTGTGTAGGAAATCTGTTAAGTGCTGCACACATTTGTAATAAGATAAAATACATTGCTTCTGCCATTTGTATTTACATATTTATTTTAAAGTTCTTTTTGAAATTGGAAAACAAAACCCAATCTAGATAGACTTGCCATTCATCCAAAACCTAGGCCGTGTTTGCAAGTCCTTCCGCGCTGAGACAACTTCCTGGCCTCTCACATTCGTAAGAGGACTTTCTGGAAGGTAAGCCCGTGCCACTGTTTTTATGTCCCAAATGGCAGCCCACGTCGTCGCTATGGATAAGAAAGTAAACTCTGTGCAGACCTCTCACCGCGTGGGCGCCGCTATTCCGGGACCATGTCACAGTTTCACAGTTGGAGAGCACCTTCCAGCTTGAAATCTCAGGACGCGCGTTTCCCCACTAAGCATGCTCCAGGGTCAGCACTGTGGAGCCTGCCAGTAGGAGGATAAAACACACGTTAGAGAAACGCGTTTCCAGAGAAGGGGAATCAATAGGTGAGAGATGGATGGGGGGAGAGAGAGAGACAGAGAGAGATGGTTGGAATGTTTTATGTGAATTGGCTCACGCAGTTGTGGAGGCTGGGAAGTGCCACGAGCTGCCGTCTGCAAGCTGGAGTCCAGGAAAGGCGGTGGTTTGTTCCAGTCCGAGTCCAAAGGCTTGAGAATGGGGGAAGAGTTGGGGGGTACTGATGTTAAGTCCCAGCCCAAGGGCAGGAGCCAGTGTCCCAGCGCAAACAGGCAGAAATGCAAATCGTTTAAAAGCTGCTGCGGCAAATGCCTTTGAGCGACGCTTGGACGCTTCCCGTCGCCGCAGTAACGAGTCACTGCCGTGGGCCGCGGAGGAAAAGGCCGATTTCCCGCCTGCAGCTCCGTGGTCGGGAGGCTGCGGGGCTCACGGGCTTAGCTCCCCCGGCAGGGCGGCTCCGGGAGAATCCGGTGCTCGGCCTTTTCCGGCTTCCGGAGGCGCCGCCGTCCCGGCTCGGGGCGGGCTCCGTCTTCCGGGCCGAGATCCCGTGCTCACTCCGACCGTCTCCCCGCCCGTCCTCCGCGTGTGGACACTGGGTCCTTGTCCGGCCCCTGTGATTACACCTGGGACCTCCACAACCGTCCCCCGTCTGGAGGCCGCCCACGCAGCCACACCCGCCAAGTCCTCTTTCCCTGTGGGCGACTCTAGCCGCCCGTTCGCAGACGCCGGACCGTGGTGTGGACATCGGGGGGCGCCATGCCTGGCTCGGCCCTGCCCGGACCCCGCTCCCAGCCCCCAGCCGCCACCTCCGCGTCCCATTCCCGCTTTCTCAGGTCGCCCCTGCTGTCCTCCCAGCAACCACCGGCAGGAAATCACCTGTGGGCGCGGGGGTCCCGCCTCCTCGTCACCACTGGCATCCCTCTTGTGGCCCACGTAGCTCTTTTTTTTCTTTTTTCTCTTTTTTTTGAGCATATTCGAGAGGATCCTTCTTCCTTACTACCAATTAAGCCAGTTTACATTCACATAAAATACGTAACTGTATGATTCACGAGTTTATAGTTACTTAACTGTGTGATTTTCATAATTCTCTCTGTGCTAATTATAAACACACCCTTGAGGAGAGCTGCCATCCTTCTTTGTTTCCTCTACTAGAAAGTACCCTGTAAAGTACTTGGTACGTTTTGAAAGATCCTTGAGTTCTAGTCTTGAAAAATAATTTCTTTCCTTTTCCTTTTTTTTTTTTTCTTTTTCTTTTTTCTTTTTTTTTTTTTTTTTTTTTTTTTTTTTTTTTTTTTTGTGAGACACGGTCTCACTCTTGCCCAGGCTGCAGTGCAGTCACAGTTCACTGCAGCCTCGAACTCCTGGGTTCAAGCAATCCTCCCGCCTCAACCTCCTAAGTAGCTGATACTACAGGCATGCACCACCCCACCCGGCTCATGTTTTAATTTTCATTTTTAGTAGAGATGGAGGTCTCACTATTTTGCCCAGGCTGGTCTCAAACTCCTGCCCTCAAGCAATCCTCCCACCTTAGCCTCCCAAAGTGCTGGGGACTACAGGTGTATGCCACCGTGCCTGGTCTGAAAAAATAATTTGTTTTATGGTAATCTTCATCTTTTAAGTTTTGTTACATGACAGAATTCCCCAAATACCAAAGGCCTTCCCTAACACTCATGGAAGGTCATCCAGTTCTGTCCAGCATCCCCTTCATCTCGGAGCATGGCCGACGGGTGAAGTCCCACCAGACCTGCTGGCCCCTGTGGGGCAAGGTGGAGGCTGGCCAACATCCCATACCCCATGGTCACGTCCACCATGAGGCCCAGCCCAGCCCAGCAGAGTGGAGAGTGAGTCCCCTGAGGGTGGGTGGACACAGAGAATAAATATTTCCAAACATGAACACACTTTACCACGTTTCATTTTGTAATGTTGTTGAATTTTAGGAGTGGTGTTAATCTGGTGCTAATTGTCTCTGTCTATAGAAGTATCTAAAGCAGGCCCATTGCTCCAAAAGCTTTGCAGTACGCAGTTTTTCCAGTCGTGGTTATCAGATAGGTCTCTGAAACAGCAATGCCTCCTCAGGAACACATGGCAGATAGGCTTAGAAGCCTTCATTTTGCAGTAAAACATTTATTTGATTTTAAGATACATGTTATCCCTTCACTAACATTTGTGAAATTGTTGAACCTGGAAATATTCATCCTTCCTTTTTAAAGTAGCATGTTCTTTCTCTGTTTTATTAAATCCCTGGTGCAACCTACACATAATGTTGTTTAAAATCATGCCCACAAAATGAAGCATGTGACTCAAGCTTCCGTTTTAAGAAAATCTATTAGATGGTGCATCAAAATAATGATTTGAAATTTTTATTGTAGGAAAAGACCCCTCTAAGTTCCAGCCCCAGCATATTAACATGTAAAGTGCATGTGTTGGCCTAGAGAGCGGGCTGCGTATTGATTAGAGTAGGATGTTAGGTCACGCAGGGCAGCCCCTCCCACTAGACAGGAAATACAGGCCACCTGCCTTCAACAGGTCAGGGTCAGTGTTGGGGAGTGATAACACCAACCTCCCAGTAGGAGGATAAAACACATGTTACAGAAACACGTTTCCAGAGAAACGGAATCAATAGGTGATGGTGGATGGAGAGAAAGAGATGGATGGATGGATGGATGGATGGATGGATAGGGAGAGGGATGGATGGATGGATAGAGAGAGGGAAGGGTGGATGGATGGATAGAGAGGGAGAGAGATGGATGGATGGATGGATGGATGGATGGAATTTTTTATGTGAATTGGCTCATGCAATTGTGGAGACTGAGAAGTCCCAAGATTTGCTGTCTGCAAGCTGGAGCCCCAGGATAGCTGGTGGTTTGTTCCCGCCTGAGTCCAAAGGCCTGAGAATGGGGGAAGAGTTGGGGGGTACTAGTGTAAGTCCCAGCCCAAGGGCAAGAGAAGACTAGTGTCCCAGCTCAAACAGGCAGGTAGAAGGACAAATACCAGGGTGAAGCCACTCTCCTCCACCTTTCTGTCCCATTCAGGCCCTCGATGGATTGCACGATGCCCACCCATGCTCCCTGCTTCCTCCCTCTCATCTCATGCTTTTGGGTGACTTCCCTGATCTGAATACACACTTGCAGAGATAAGCCATTGTCCTTCTAGCTCTCCTTTCCTGGATGTGCGGCTGGCCTGGCCCCTCCGCAGTGGCGTCTGTGGTGTCAGGACTGAGGATGAGCACTGGGCTGTGAGAAAGGGTTGGGGACAGCGCGCTGGCCCCCACCACGCACTCGCCGAGTGCTGGAAGCTGGCCCACCCTCTCCATGATTTCAGGCTCATGAATGCACGTCGTGAAGATCTGGCACAGTAGGATGAACTTCCCACCTCTCGCTGGGACAGAGGCCGCACGTTCTGGGAACCCGGCTTTCGAGTGTGTGATCTGGGGCGGGTGTGGCACTCACCCATCTTGTTTCAGGGAACTCACGTCACTTTTGAAAAGCAGGAGACAGATTCCATGACTTGTTTTTGTTTTGTTTTGTTTTAATATGTTTTAATTGTGAAAACGGTTATCCCCTTTCTAAAACTAAAGTTTTGAGCCTCTCAGGGTAAATTTCTAGATATGCTTAAAAAGAAAAAAACTAATGTTTTTCATCACTGTTATTGCTCAGTTGTCAAAATAAGACTTGTGAGTCTTTTGGAAGAAGAGGGTTATACTCGTACTTACAAAATTATTCTAACAATGCCTGTGGCTAAGAGGACTCTCGAAATGAGTAAGGAACCGTAACAGCTCACAAGGGACCGCAGGCTCTGCAGAGTGGCTTCGGAATCCAAGACTCTGAAGCACACCTGGGTGTCCTGCCAGGAACTGCAGCTGCGTGCCACATGCACCCGGTCAGATGTGACTTAGGGATGTATTGTCAGCTTTGGTTTATTGGACATCTGAGGACAGTGGTATATTTGTCATAAGATATCAGTGTAGCTGTTGAACTGCTTAGGATGGGAACACAAATTCAAGAAGCTTCGTAGTTAAATTATCCTGGCTGAGATGGTAGCCAAGCGAGACTTATTTCCAGCAAAAAACTTGCAAGGCAGAAATATTTCAAAGCAGAGACGCAGAAGATGAAAGAAAGTTGTGATATGAACTGATGGGTTCCTGAGTTTGAAAGTGTGGGCTGCAGAGGGACCCTGCCGTTCACACAGGGAGTTCAGGGAGAACAGGAAGCGTGCAGGTTAGGTATGGAGAAAGCTGCTTCACACGCAGATACAAAGAGATACAATTTATTGGAATGGATAACCAAGTCACAAATATCACCTTACCTTATATTATCAAATTGATTTTATATTACTATCACAATAATCAATTTTATCTTTTGTCAGTGGTAAAATACTTACAGTCATCTCTCGGTCTACGTGGGGGATTGGTTCCAGGTCCCCCGTGTGCTCCCAAATCCTCGCACACTCAAGTCCTACAGAACCCACGTAGTCAAAACGTCTGCCCTCCAGATGCCTGGGTTTCACATCCTGGGAGGCTGTATTTTTGATCCGAGTTTGGTTGAAAAATAATCCGTCTATAAGTGGACTTGCAAGTTCAAACCCTTGTTGTCCAGGGGTCAACTGTAATGAAATAAAAGAGGATTAATGTAAGATGATATGAAAACTCTCTTCACATTGTATTGGGTAGTTCGGCTTTATTTTCCATTTTTCAATTTCTCAGTTGTGCGGGATTTAGTATAAGAAGACTTGCTTTGGTTTTTCCAGCTATACTGAGTTACAACTAGACCATGTCAGTAATGTTACCCTAGAACACAAGGTAGAAACTTGGGGGGTTCTCGGAGAGTTTCAGTGAAAGACAAGACGCAGGCGAAGGCAGAGGTCTGTGTGCAGAGCCCTGGTGCACCCCAGGGGGCTCGGGCCGCAACACAACCTCCTGGGGAGGGAAGAATGCCGGAGTGTGGAGGGAAGCAGGGCAGGGCGGCGAGGGGACAGCTGTTTCCGGGGCCGGCATGTGGCGCGTTGACACCTGCAGGAAAGGCAGAAATGGACGTTTGCAAACTGATTTATCTGTAAGATAGTTATGTCATTTCGAGCGGACGTTGACATGGTTTTAATGTTTTGGTACTATAAGTAGTGTTTTGATGTATGTCTTTGGGCATACAATGTTTTTTTTGTATCTGGGTTTATTTTCTCGAGATCGATTACTTTCTCAAGCAGTAGTATTACTGGGAAAAATAAACTTTTAAAGTGTTCTGCTGTAGACAAATGCTTCTCAAAGTGTTTCGTCTTGTTTGCTTCCTCACCAGCTTTGGTTGTTGACACTTGCATTACCTTTGTTAATTATCAAGAAACAGTACCTCCCAATTTCAATTTACCTCTGTTTGAATACTAATGAGATTGCACATTGTCCCACAGGCTACTAGGTTTTGGAATTCTTTTAATTAT